AGATATGGCTGCAATGTTAAAGGTCTCTCTTGGATTGTCATTACTAGGTTTTCTGGTGATCGCAGTCGTGACTTCTCCCGCGAACGCCGCTAGGAAGTCATCAGTCAGACTCGGAGGGAAGACAGATGTGCCTAACGTTCAGACCAACATGGAAATTCAAGAACTTGGAAGGTAATTTAAATGTATATATGACTTAACATTCATACCCAAAAAAATATATGTGTATATATGAATGAGAAATGTGATGTAATTTTTTGTGTGATCACAGGTATTGCGTGGAGCAATTCAATCTTCAGGAACAGAGAGAGGAAGGAAACATCGCATCGATTTCGAAAACCGACACAGCTGTTCCCCGTCCATTGATGTTTAGCCGAGTTGTGTCGGCTCAGAAACAGGTCGTGGCTGGGATGAAATACATTCTAAGGATTGAAGTCACTCAACCCGACGGCTCGAGCAGGATGTTTGATTCGGTCGTGGTTATCCAACCATGGCTCCATTCTAAGAAGTTGGTTGGTTTTACTCCCGTTGCTAGTCCTATCTACTAATTTTGTAACACAACAAAACATATGATTAAGAAAAATGTGTATGATATATGGAGCTATTAACAATGGGTTAATAGTTTGTTGTAATGATGTTTATTATGTTGTTCATAAATAAAGAAAAAAAAAATGTTATGAAGCTGTGATTAGACTTGCTAAAATATCAAAACCATCATCAAACTCATGGAACCATTTGGAAATGTTGCGTTTGTCTTTACAAAAACTTAAAAAGGGAAAACTTAAAAAGGGTTCAAAAGAGGTGCCTCTACGTTCTTCAACTGAAAATTTTGCACACATCTAATCAAACCATATGTAGAGTTTTGTACCAAGATGAGCTAATCCATTGTCTAATGCTGTTATGTTGGTTTAAAGGAGACGAACAACGGTTGTCAATCAAAGATCTCTTGGGCCTCGATTATGCTATGTTGCCTGAGGAAGATCACAAGGAGTAGTCGAAGTTTCAGATCTTGTGATTCAGCAGAAGAAGAAGAGATAAGTATGGCAAGCAAGAACGTTTTACTTACATATCATCTTTCGCGACCCGGTAATATTTTTCAGCATGTTGCCGTTGGCCAATCATTTGAGCAAAGCGTTCGTCGTGGGTAATGACTATCAGTTGGAAATTCTCCTGGCCTTTTCTGTCCTCCATGATCCTAGAGAGTGCGACGAAAGAATAAGATCCAATGTTGAGAGCCATGATACTAAAATGTGTAACAACATTATGGTAAAAAAAAACAGGGTCATACTAATAGCACAGTAATGATTCCAGCCTTTGGATAGTTAAATTTCGGTGTAAGAGGAACTAAAGTGTTAGCCATCTGTTATCATTATAACTCATTAATCTCGCAAAGGGTATAGATCTGGATTCATACCTAAGCAGGGCTCCTGCAAGAGATTCTGAATTGGGCCCGTCCAAGTTTGTAGTTGGCTCATCAAGGGCTAATATTCCACAATTTAGGCAAAATGTCTCGGCCAAAGCCAACCTTATTATCAATGAAGCAAGAACCTGCAGGAGAAGATGAAGAAAAAAAGTGATCATATGAGTTAAAGAACAATGCTTGAAAGAGTATTGAACAGGTAATGATGTTTCTACAAGCGCGATTTTAGAACAACTCGCCTTTTGACCAGCACTGCATCTTCCTCTCATTTCAAGTTCTGTGTCACCAGTCTGCATAAGAACCTAAAAGGGCAAAATAGTTTACCACAATGTTAATGGTGAGCGGATGGTAAATCATGTTTGTCGATTCTGTAGCGTACCTTGTAGCTGTAAGAGCGAGTGCCTGCACCCTCGGAATCTGAATGTATTCTTATGTAATCTATATCTTGACCTCTGTATGTCTGCTGCCACAATTCCCTTATAATCTTATTTATTTCCTCCATTTTCATTGTGTGGAAGCGCATTAGTGCTCTGTTGTTATTAAATAAATTGGAAACCAATGTTAAAAACTGCAGTTTAAATGAGTTTGTGAATTTGGATAGTGTAGAATGAAAACAACTAGCCAGAAACATATATTAAGACTCAAGAACAGCTTACTTGTCAAGGGCATTGTAGTATCTATCCAAGTCTTTATTTGCCATTTCAGTTGTCTGGCCAAAATGAAATGTTTCAATTTACGAACAACATAGAATGGAATTTGTTGATCATTTAGACACACTGCCACAAGGTGATATAACGACTTACCTTTAGCTGGATTAGTTGATCAAAGTGCCGCTTATCTATGTCCTTGTATTGTGCCTGTTTTAGCTCCACCTTGTTCTTCGAAATACTGCTCTCGTAAACAGATACTGTTCCACGGCACCGGTTCAACTACAGGAATAAAATGATTATTCCTAAAGCACAATAAAATAGGTTCTGGAAGTATTTAATGGACATATTGTCTTTAGATAATCTCAATAACACAGGATAACTCGAAGTTCACACATCTCAGTTGCTAACAGTTACGAGTTATGATAATAAGTGAAGTTAATCTGTTTTCCTAACTTTGATATTCTTCGGGGGCCTTGTAATGAGGATAAACTTAGAAAAATGAAATGCCACTTTGGATACCAGATGCTTGCAAAGGAGAATTGTAAGATCTTACACTTAGCATCAAGGACAACAAATAAATAGCTAATCACAGACACCAAAATCCTATTCAATTTACGTATTATATCAGACTGATTGCTATAAATAAATAAGAGTCTGCTTACCTCTGAAAGAAGTCTTTCTCTTTCCCGTGATATCTTTACAAGTTCAGCTTCAACTGCGGGAATCCCACCAATTTTCAAGATTCGCTCTTCCAGTGATTCAATCTCACGTGTAAGCTCCTCAACTTCTGCTTTTGTTGTCCGGTAGTTCAAGTTATCCTCTATATTTCTTCTCAGTTGATCTTGATTCCGCATCAAGTCTTTACTTTTGTTCAGTTCAGCTGCAATTTCATTCCTTCTAGCTTCCAAGCTCTGAAGCTGGGATTCCAATAACCGCTGCTTTTCTTGAATATCATTTAACCGCTCTCCTTTCTTCAGATCATGATACCTGGTGAGGCAGCTGTAAGCATATCTGGTACACATAATAGTGATGAATTAACCTTTGGTTAGCAGAACATACTCATTAATCTTAGAACAGGCCTTGAGTAATGCCTCAACTTCTTGTTGGTAGTTTCTCTTTTTCTCAGCCTGTTCTTCATACTCTTGATTACGTTTAACCTTCATATCATTGTAGTCACTCAGTAACTGCTCCTTTTCTTTGGATAAAGGGCCCAGAGCCTCAGTCAGATACTGAAAGTAATGAAATGGAAGATTGTGTTACATTTTAAGGATTCTGCATATAATGTAACAGAAACAATTTAAAGCAGGAATAGATAGGAACCCAAGACCAAGTTTACTTTTTGCATGTGTCGAAGAAACTACTTGATCACATTTCAACGAATGCATAGACAAAACATACTTGAAGCTGTTCAAATACAGAAACATACACATTTACACGGACCCTACTCGAGAAGAAGTTATTGCTACTAATTTTATGATGTATCCTCCACATAGTATCTATCTATACACAATAAGGTTACTACTTAAAGCTTGTTTTGCATTGCATTACTAGTAACTGTATTTCAACGAAAGACAATGATTTACTAAACAGTTTAAGCGCATTACTCACATTGTATAACCCTCATTCAAGATCATTGACCAAATAATTAGAACTACCATATTCGCCAATGAACAATGTACTCTGATAAAAGTGACAAATATAAAGACAAGTGGAAAACAATATAAAGGAAACTCTCATAAGACACACCTTCACGTCATGGTCAAGTTGACTTTTCTCCTCGGCTAAACGTTCCAAGTCTTCTTCTGTCTTTGTAACGTCACGTAACAAATTGGCTGCCTTAGCCTTCTCCTCCCTTAGTGCATGCCATCTGGCCTGGAGGCATGATATATCACGTTCCGCGTAAATCTGTTCATCCCTTAATTTCTCCAGCTCATCGTGCAATTTATCCCTGTTTATGGGTAAATAAGAAAGAAAAATATAGAAAAGAATGTGCATGCTAAACCAAGAAATGGCCACGGAAGAGAAATATATTTTACCCTAGATAAATTCAGAGTGCTTACTTCGTGCTTTGGAGGCTACTTAATTCTGATTGGATTTCTTCCATAGTTTTAACCCCAAGACCCCTGAAATCAAGCTTATATTCAAGATCTTCAATTTGCTTTTGGTAGGATATGATTTCCTGGAAGAGCCTATCAGCATTTTCCAGGGGCTGCACCAGTGCTTCAACTGAGTCTTTGTCTGCTTTTATTTGGGCTGAGATTCCCAACACCTGAAGACATACACGATATATACTTTGAGAAATTATGAACTGAAATTAGGACTATCCAGCTTGTGTGCATCACAACATGATTAAGAATGAAACAGAGCAAGCAGAAAACAACAGACTTCTAACTGATAGACTTGTGGCTGCAAATCAGTTATATCCAAAGAAATTTCTAAAGATCCCCAACTCACATCATCAAGGGCTTCAGACTTCTGATCCAGCTCTTCTGTATGCTCTTGCAACTTTTTCTCAGCGAGAGGAATAATTTCATTACTTAGTTTCGAATACTCTTCAAAAGCTGACCGTAGTTTATCCAGCTGCTGAAATATAGAGTCAGCATTTGAAGCCTCTGCTAATAAGTCTTTGGCATGCTCCGCCGTGGTTGAAGCCTTTAGCCTTTGCTGTACTTGAAAAGAAATTTACATACTCAAATGAAAATAAACATTTATTTCATAAGCATGAAGGAAAAATCTACAGGAGGAAATTTTGCAACCTTCTTAACGAAGTTGTCCTCTTCTTCAGCAGAAAAAGTGCGGTCACAGCAAGGACAAGAATGATGTTTACGGGCTAGCTGCTCAAAAGGTTCAAACATCTGGCGCATACCATCTGACATGTTATATTTGCTGCAAACACAGAACAGAAACAGACCTACGCTTTTAAATGAAAGACAAGAATATGTTGGAATTCACACAAGGCAGGTGACGAGTGTATGTGGAAATAGTCTGTGCTATTTTCAACAGGAAACCTTTTATGGTAATCCCTTTTGCCCTTAGCCGACTCCAACAATCTGGGATAAGCATCGATACTAAATGATTCTTGTTTTAAGGCTTGAAGCTTGGACTCAATGTACCTCTTTCTTGCTGTATCAAGAATACACAAGTCAGATTGAGTTCATAGATATTATTGTCTAATCATTCACTGTGCGTCGATAATGGACTCCTTATCTGTGTAATAAATGTCAGCTCAGGTACTTTTCAAAACAAAAACAAAATAATAGGGTGACAGATGACACTTGATATTACTGTGCTCCTAATAATTGGTACCACTGAAAAAGGTGTCAAGAGCCTTTTATTCACAACTTAAGGCGCTAGTAAGAGAACTGACTAATAGATATCTAACTTTATGTTATACACCAGCGCTTACATTCTGTATCCTTGTGATGCTTGGATAGACTACTGTTCACTTCTTGTATCTTCATCTGCAACATGTTGACCTCCTTTTCTGCTTCTCGGGATTTCAAACTCAGGTCATCATATTCCCTTTCAATTAACCTAAAGGAAAGAGGAAACAAATACAAAGAAATCTTTGAGATGTGATAACTTCTGAACACTTGAAGTAGCAAGCCATTATTATTTTCAGATCCTGATCAAGAGATCTTAAATAAATAAAGGATTTCAGAAGCACCATAAGAAACTAGTAAGTGAAAGCACGACCTTAGAGCTTGAACTATTTCCTTCTTCATATCCTTCTCATGTGGCAATCTCCCCTTCAGTACCCCTCTAATTTTATCCTTGCACTCATCTATTCTGGTAAATAGCCTTAGAGAGTCAAAATAATGGATTGATATAAAGAACGAAAGAATGCTGAGAAAAGCATTAGTAAGTGAGATCACATCTTTTTGTGTTTCTTCCTAAGATTCTCCAGTTCCGTCTTCTTCAAAGACAATTTCACCCTATCCTCGGCATCACCTACCATCACGTCTCTTTCTCGATTCAGAGTCTTGATTTTATGCTCCAAGCTGTATATTTCATGCTGTTTCTGTTCTATCTTTGATTCAAATCCCCTTTCAGAATTCTGTTTTGACTTTCTCTCAAGTTCAACTTGCTGTGCAAAGCGCAAATGATGGCAAAATAAGGCAGATAGCAAAGGAAAAGTCAAGACCGAAATCATGTAAGAAGATCAAGGGAAAGAACTCAATACCACTAGCTTTTCTCTTTCATCAATTTGTTTAACATCCACATTGGATATTTCAAATTCAAATGCTTCACGCTCCATTTCTTTCTCTTCTATACGTTTTGATATGCATGTCTGCATAAGTCAACATCAGAAGTAAATGCATTATGCTTTACGGTCGTTATTGGAGGATAAGGGTAGAATTCCAAACAGTGAACCACACCTTGATTTCATCTTTAGCTCGTTTCTGAGCTTCGATGCTTTTCCAACGGTCATTAGCATCCATATAGCAATCCCAAGCCGTACTTAGAGCAGTTTCATTTGATTTCTGAGATGAAATTCAAATTCTCTAAAGAGGTCAACAGATGCAATACACAATTGACTCTCTTGAGAAAACAAAGACTGAGTACCTTCTTATCAAGCAAGTCCATCTCAAGTTCACTCAGTCTTGATTTTATTCGATTTGTGAGATTCAAAACTACCTCAGTACTAAAGGGGGTATTGGGAACATTTCCCAAATTGTGATGGGAAAAAGTTTTTTGGATGGTAGAATCTCTTTCATTCTTCAACAGCATATGAGCCTAAGAAATTAAAAAGAAAAAAGGTTAGACCAAATGGAGTAGAAGTAGAACTCACAATATTTTAGTATGCAGTAGCTTTATTAGATTTACTTCAGCTTCTGTTTGTAACTTGCTGATCTCCAGCATATAGTTGGTTTTTGCATTGTGAAGAGAAGAAATTGTAGTTTCTGTGTCATCCATCTCTCTCTCCATCTTTCGAATNTTGGTCTCCAAAAGAGCAATTCTTTCTTCAAACTTGCTTTTCCATTCTTTCAATTCTTCGATTGTATCTGAAAAAAAAATATGACAGCATAAACAGATTTAATCCAAGATTTGAAATTTTTCTGCAGAAAGGCAAAAATAAATCATACAAATGCAGGGACACAATCTGTCAAACCACTGTAACAATGATGAGCACCCAAATGAAGATCCCTGCCATCTAAAAGACAACAAAGGCATTAACATTGTGATAGTAGAAGCAAAAACCTTCATTTTCCTCGGACAATGCTGCATACTGCCTCTGCTGCTCCTTAAATAAGGTACTCCTTTCGGCAGTTTTTCTTGAAACTTGGTCTTGTAGCTTTCTCAAATCTTTTAACATCATTTCCTTACTGTGAACTTCACCATCCACTGTCTGAATGCTGGTTTCCAGTTCCAACATCTGAACTTTTGAAGACTCTGTCCTTTCTTGATCTTGAGCAATGCTCTCACGGAGCTGTATAGGAAGAATCAAGTCATAAGAATAGCCCACACAACCTAAGGACATGTATACAGTATCTATATAGTACATGTCTAAAAACACTTTCAGAATTAAAGCCAATCTGCAACAGTGACCACTGATACAGTAAAAATAAAACTCAATGTCAAACAAGTTATTATCCAGCATACCTTATAAGCTGCGTCTTTCAAGGTCTGCAGATTTTCCAACTTCAACTTATAAGTTTTTATCTCCTGAGCTTGATCCTTGTGAAGCTTCTTAATAACCTCCAAAGCCTTGGTATATCTGTTTCATGTTAAACACACATGTTACAGTATCTGGGAATCGGTTTCTTCTACAGCAGATGGATCAAATACAGCAAGGAAGTGAGCACAGATGACAATAAGTGCAATTGCAAATCCCTCTTCATTGCCAAACTCTATAAGATTTTTCTCTTCTAAAGTCTTGCTTACATGTCTGGGTATTTTAAGGCCAAAACAAGAGAGCATTGTCTAATAATGATACCTGGTGGCTGAGAAAATATCATCAAACTTCTTTTTCAAAGTAGAAGGATCTTGCAGTGGCCAGTTAGACTCATCTTGGTGCACAAATATGACGTTTTCTAAAATAGCTTTTGACACACCCATCAAAGCTGGTATCTCCCTATCCATGTCAGCGCATCTGTAACTGAGACATACTTTCTGCAATATGACAATGTATATTCGAAAATTAGAAAGAGAAATGATCTTAATGGGAACGAAACATGCAAAATAGAGGAATACAGAATAAAGCACTAATAGAAACTCCGAATTAGGCTGTGCGTTTGATTTCCTTCACGAAAACAGGTATGAAATCAATCTATTTGCAGACAAAACAAACGCTTTTGGGAAATATAGACAGTCTAACACTAGCACTGGAACTTCAACAAAATAAATGAAAACCAAGATATGAATTGAATGCATAGCTAACAAGGTGAGAACAAAAAAAAACACAACTCAATCAAAGAGTAATATCAGGAATTATGTGCAACCTCCCCAGTGTGAGGATTGATGGTTTGAAGCACGCTCTCAATTGCCTTGTACTCCATCTTTGAAGCCTTTTGTGTCAACTGAAATGACCTTATGCATACCACATCTTTCCCTGCAGCCGTCTTGAACCGCAGTTTGATTTGTGCTTTTGTCTCCGTTTCCCCAGCAACCTAAAAACAAAAGAGAACATTTTTCTTTGAACTAAACCTCTGAAGAAACCAATGAAATTCAACCTGCATAGCACTCCAAGGGAAAATCACGAATACTTCCAGGAAAGAGTTCCCTCGCCAATTCAACTAAAAGGACTTAGTAAACAGACTTCACATCGATGGAAAATGCCAAAGACAAATCATTGCCAATTTCAACATCCATCAAAAACAAAATTATAAAAACTTGCATGAAATTAGGTGAGAATGAAAATTATACAGAAACCATAGAAACATACCTTCGGGTCATGAATGAAGCTGTGACCAGACCTCGCGTTCGGTGGCAACTCTCCAGTGCAAGATACTTTCAAGCACTCTATAATCGTCTGCAATATCACAAAATACCCCCAAAAAAAAAAAAATCAACAAAAGAGATACGGTTGTGAAGTGAAGAGAAGACAAGGGTCGAAGAATTTTACAGTTTTTCCGGCTCCATTGGAACCGACGATTAGGGTTAAAGGCCTGAAAAAAGTGATAACATTCTTATTTTCTGGGTCGAAACTTCTGATACCCTTGATCAGCATTTTATCGACCGTACTCATCTTTCCCGCTGATTACACAGAAACTTGGTGACGCTCGTAGGTTAAACCCAGAAAGCGACCAAGGTTTTGCGGGAAAATCATCAACACTCGAACAATGGAGGAAGAATACTGGAAATTGTAGTTAGCAGCGCAAGAGACCGGTTTACTACCCTGGTTTAGCAATCGAACCGAATTAAACCGGTTTGATGTTTCGGGAAGTAGGCTAATTTGGGGTTCGATTAGAAAATAACAAAACTATTTGGATTATTTTGAAAACAACTAACACTTCGTGGGCTTGTTATTAATATAAAAACTCTCATAGGTGAAAAGGGCAAAAAAAAAACAAACGGAAGAATCTCTATCTACACATGAGTAAATACATACATAGACCATTAATCACTCTGTTTTCTTTGCTTATTTATGATTTTAGTTTTCACTCCTTGTTCTTCGAAGATCGGTCTTTTCTTTGACCACCAAGAATACGTGAAATCTGCAAACCTCTGCTAAATGCTTGGTTAAAGAGCATCCTTGTTTGGAACTCGGACACGAACGGGAACCAAGCCAAGAATGCTACTGGAGTGAACAAAAGCAAACCCATCAGGATCTCGTAGCCTCGAGCTAGCGTCCTAACCGATGACCAGATCCCTAGCCGTTGAATCAGAGGTTTACAAGCTTGTGCAATCTACGGAAAAGAAGAAAATACGAATGTTTTCGAATTAGCTGCAGATAGCAAACTATATCTCACAAACTAGACAAAAAAAAACATTTTTGGACGAGTTTTAATGGAGCAACGAGGACGGACTTACAAGTAACATTCCCCATCCGGTTGGCATGAAAGCGAGCATACAGAGGAATATGTCTTTAAGTGTTATAAGAGGAAGAGCTAAGAAAGTAATCAGAATTGCAAGAAATATGAGGAACACAAGACCCTTCATTATCCTGAAGAGAAGCTGGAAGTTTGTGCTGAACCGTCGTCTTCCCATACCCAAACCCTGTGATTAGTTTACATTCGGTTTAGTAATCGTTCGATCTAGCTTAAACCAATCTTGATCGGGAATAAGATAGTAGTCGGTATCTTATATATTGATGAAACTCAAAATGCGAATGAATGGATGTTCATGAGATTAGTTACCACACCTTGACAATGAGTAAAATGAATAAGATCACAAACCATGAAGCTCCGTAAATCTGTGAAACATCGAAGATCAGTTTATCAAAAATCCAGAGATTTTTAGGAAAAAAGTATAAGAAGAGCAACATGAGATGAGTAAGCTCTCTCACCCACAAACTTTGATTTTGTTGTTTAAAAGTGCTGAGTTGATACACGAGTCCATACTGAAAGATGAAGAACCGTAAAGCCAAAACAATCTCGAGGATGATACCGCGCTTTCCCGAGTGTCGAAGATGTTCTATTTCCTTCTCCCACCAAGATTCCCAACTCTTCTCTGGAGGCACACCGATTCCCCCTCGGTTAAATATCCATTTATTCCAATCTGTCCAATCATCGACAATCTTTTGCCACTCGAAGCCAGAAGGATTGAACAAGAAAGGAGCAAAGAGCCAAGTCACCACCATAAACCATATTGAAACAGTAATAAGAATATATGTAACTACGCCTCTATAGGCGTGGCCAAATATCTGATACACGAGCAGGAGAATCATCAGCTCAATACCCTTCACAAAATGACTGCGCGAGTAAAACCTATAATTTTCAGCAAACTTGGCATGGAACACCACAAAGCCACGCCCAGTTCCTCTGTATTCCGCGCCTCCATGAAACAATGTTCTGCCGTAGTAATGAGTTTTTGTCCCGAGTTGGAATGTGAAAAACACGGAAGCGAGTTGTAACTGCATCAGTACAAAATCGATTAAGGCATTATGGAATCCTCTCTCGAGGCCTATCTCCATCATCATAGGCAGAGCCATTAAGAAACCAATCTGCACAAATGATTGAGAAGCAAGTGCTGCTTGCAGAGGCATGTTGGAACGAAAAGCTTTTTGGTTGCTCAATCCTTCTTCAAGACCACTAAGAACCAGATACAACCGTCCATAGAGAAATACATAGACCGTGAGCACAGTTAACTGTAAGAAAGATACATATAATGTTTCAGACTGAGATAATCTTTCTATGTATCATACTGGTTGTGAGATGAAAAAAACGAGAGTAGAATTTCGACCTACCATGGTACTGAAATAGAACCCAATTGTAGTAAAATAACATGAAAGCATACGGAAGAAATCAAATCGGTGCCCCAGCCTGTATAGGTCACGGCTTAGAGTTTGCTCCCCGTTTCCATTAGCTATCTTTGCCTCAAACATTGAAATCTGATTTAGTCCCACATCTCTCCCTTTACCAACTTGTATGTATTCATGATGAGTCACATTTCCTTCACGTAGAGTAGAGTTAAAACCTGAAAACAGCAAAGGTATGAGAAAACGAAAAAAAGCCAGATCATAATTATGTGTCACCAGAGAAAAAGAGTTGAAGCAAATGCCTGCAAATATGTCTTCACTTAGATTGATAACTTTTGAAGCTTTGCAGACACCCCCTCTTGTAAGGTGAAACAGTCGATCAAAAACATCTGGATGCCCGTAATGGAACCGTACCCTGGAGGAGTCGAAATAAAAGGTCAACTTTGACAATCACAAGTTCAATTTTCTCTTCAGGAAATTTCAAACCGGGATAAACTTACTTCAAGGGGCTAGCTAGCACCCTCTGCCCAATAGTAACAAAGCTGTTTTCCTGATTTGACATAAACCATGCAAGAGAAGAAACACTGCCACAAGAATCGAGAGAAATATGAGATCATTGTGCAGGAGGACCGAAACTAACTGTCTAAATGGCAGAACAAGATCACACTGCAATACCTTCCAGTGAAAATATGCTCTCTAAGTCCAAGTATTGTAGGGGTTCTTACGCCTCCATGCTCTTCAAGAAATTCTTGCAGCAAGTTCCTCATTTTGAAAGCTTCCTCCATGTAATTATCCTGTTTATCGATTGTTTAGTTCAACTAAAACCTTAATGAGATTATATAGGATACTCTGCAAAAACAAAAAGAAAGTTGGTAACTTGGTAGGCACACCTGGTTCATGTCTATTGTCTGTAACCCTTCTCCGCGAGTAAAAATGATAGCATGGTTCTGATTCTCCGGCTTTCCCTCTCCTAGTATTGCAGGTCCTGGTAGCTTAATCCGATAAATGACCTGCAGAAAGAAATGTCAACCCAGTCTCCAAAAGTAGAACAGTGTGAGTACCTACGACCGCTATGGTTTTCAGGAAAATGCATGCGAACGAGAGAAGAAAAAAAAATCACACAGAAAAACAGTCATAAGAAAATATATTGAAAAAAACTAATCCTTTACCCTCGAGCCACACTTACAGCAATAATTGAGCACCAACGTTTGAATGTTCTAGTCAGTGTTCCTACAAAAACTTGAATTATATACCTGGTCTAGTGTTTGAACAGATTCAGAAGAATCCATAGATTTGGTCTGCGGAGCGGCTTTCACAAGGGCTGAGTAATAATTTTTTTCCTCCGCACCTTTATAACTGTCTTTATGTGTTTGCTCAACCTCATCAATATAAGCAACACGTAGAGATGGGTACCTGCCAAAGAAAAATTAGTAAGCTTAACTAATGCGGCTGATAAAGAAATTACAGATCAATTGAAGAATTGCAATGAAACAAAGCATACGTAGTCATAAGCCTCAATATGTCTTTAGCACGTTGGTCACCAGATCTCTTCTGAATACTGTATTGTTGGCATGAGACCACAAAGGTGAATTTCATATCAGCAAGAGCTTGACACTGAGCCCAGAGTGACTTTCCACTCTTTGATGCGTCTTCACTAGTTAACTCGAGAGCCTTGTACCCTTTCATTAATTCTTCAGCAAAACAAAACCAGTTTTAGGAACGTTTTCACAGTTTCTATGAATAGAAAAATAATCATAACAATAATTCATTGGGCACCTTCATTCTTTGCCATATCAAGGAAGGCCTGGAGCTCCAAAGCCTTTCGGTAATACATCATGCCTCGTACTGGTTGATCAAAATATGAAAAATCAAGCACAACACATACCATATACACAAACGAAATATCCTCCAGTGAAAAAGTGAAGCAGAGTTCTTCTGTTGAAAAATTAAGAGAACTGAAGTGAATTACCACATACCAGTTTTGGTCAGTGTTTGGCCTCTGTAAGATGCCCACAGACGAAGCTCCTCTTCCAACTCTTCTCTTGCTCTGAGTTCTTCCTCGCTGCCACATTTAACTCGTTCCAAAAAGTTTGTCCACTCATCTGACGAAAACCACAGAATTAAACTCCAGAACACAATTACAGTGGCACAAGATAATTTGGAAACAGAAGAAAAAATGAAACCTGGAAAGATCTTCTGCAAGTAAAAGAGTATAGAGACTCCATCTTCATTTTGCTTCTCCAAACCGTTAATTGAGAAAAGAACATCCTCTTGATAGTATGGTGTTAGGACCCTATGGAAAAGGAAAAACAGAGACAATAAGATTTTGTACTTCACACTGCTCATAGCAAATATGGAATTGATTGGGCACTAGAGAGATTTATCATACGACTGCAATGAAGTTTCTACCTCAATCCAGAACATGCACTCATACACAGACATGCCAAATACGACCAAAAATTAAGGTGACAGATGAATGGAACTTACGAAAAGGAGAGCATGTTGCGGATTTTAGGTGCATCAGGCATTTCCATAAATAGTGAATTTGAAAAGAAAGTAAGACGCCTTCGAGCTTCCAAGTTAGATGGCACATCCATAGCCGACTCTTTGACAGTAAGTAAAAGATGAAGCCTATTGATCTGCATAATGAAAAAGGAAAGGAGATAGATAAGTTAGAAGGTCCTCATGCAAATGATACCAAATGCACCACACTGCGGAAACAGGAACGAAGCAAATAGAAGAACTTTAAAGAGGAAACTTGCTTTTTCTTTCCAGGCTTCTGTTTGAGAGTACACTGGGAACCGAAGTTGGCTGAAATATTTGCGCTG